GCCCATCGGCTGAGCCTTTGATGTCTCGACTCCGGTCCTTAGACCACATCTATTTGCATTTTTGATGGATTAAATTCTGCATACAGGTCCTGCATCCTGGTGGAGTTTCATGAAGTTTGGCCTCATTTCATATAAACCGAGCAGCGGGGAGATGAGGACCTGGTGGTGAGCAGAGGGCTGTGGACGCGGCCTTGGCGAGCGGCCTCTGTGGCAGGAGGTGGCAGCGGCTGGGTCTTCTGTGGGTACTGGCGCAGCGAGCCAGGCGGGGTGAGGGCTGGTGGGTTTATAAGCAGGAGACACCGTGTCGTGGCTGGGGGTGACAGGGGACATGTGTGTGTGTCCACCCTGGCTGCGGCAGGAGCAGCGCTGCTGCCAGGCCGTGGGGCGCGCTCGGTTCCTCTTCCAGGCTGCGATGGGCAGGTTGGGCAGCTGGTGGCCAAGGATGCCACACTCCCAGCCAGGCTGCTCCCAGTGGGCACCGCCCCGTGCAGGCAGCGGGAGCTCGGCACGTCTTACTGGAAAAACACGGGCTTTTGGGGGATGTTTATAAAAGTAAATCTGATTTGTGGGTAACAGTTTTTGCACCAAGTCCTGGATTCTTTGATGCAGACACCTTCTTCCCATTGCCAATCCTTGAGATCCCAGCCGGTGAATTAATTTCAGGGAAGTTGTGCTCATCTGAAGTGTGGATATTTTATTTCGGGTTTGCTGATGGCTAGATGGTGTTCAGCGCGGGTAGGCTGTAACACGCATTTGCATTAAGCATCTTTAGGCTTACTGTTGCTGGGATTAATTTTTACTTCCTTAAATTGGAAACTGGAAGATGCAAGTGTTAGTGTGAGATGACAGGTTGTGAGGTTTTCAGCTTATTCTTTTTAAAAGGAACTAAGTAACCTTGTTTCCCAGCTGAATTTAAGGGTGCATGTCTTGGGGCTTTCTGTTGCTTATATCCTAGTAAATTTATCTAATACCATTCTCACATTGTTCACATTTCTTACCATTCCTGTTTGTAGCTGCTTCACCTCGTGTTTGTCATGGAAATAAAACCCTGTTCGCTGGGAAAACACAATACTCACGGGAGAAAATTGGGTGGCAGGCTTGAGAAAGTAATTTGAGTGGTGTATTTAAAAAAAAGAAAGTCTTCAGTCTTACATAGGTGTATGGAGAAGCGTCGTGGGTACAGGCTGCGCCATTTTATAGTAGCCTGTTTATATCAGGGCACAATGATATGTTCTGTCAAACTCTCCGGAAAATAAACATCTCAGTAGCTTTCATATACACAAGGTGTCATTTCCCTCAGGCAAACACTGTAACTTCATGGTGTTGGACTACTCTGGAGTTTCGAGTACGTGCAAATTAAATAATGAAAATTTCCATATATTCAATGTCTGTATGCAACACAGGCTGTTACAGAGCTAAGCTATGTTCTGTTCCCTCTCCAGAGTACTTTGGAAATCACCTAGTCCAGCACAGCATCGCCTTTGTACTCCAAAGAGCAGCAGTGCTGCGATCAGACGCCAAGGCCAGTGCAGCCACTCGCCATCTCCATCCCTCCCACTGCCATCAACCATTTCTCTGCTTTCAGGTTTTTTTCCTAAATTTGGACTTTTGCGCTGTTGTAGTAGAAAGAGAAAACAAATGTACACATTCCAGGCATGAGATGCAGAACTGGTTCCTTCACACCAGTCTGGTGTTTCTGGCTGCAGAGAGGCTTTTGCAGAGGTAGTTGCCAAAATAATATGTGGTCTTGCTGCTGTCTTCTTCTGTGGAAACCCTCCTGTGTTACCAAGTTGTTCTTCCTTTGGTGATTCTATTACAGAGTGTGATCAGAGACGTTCAGAATAACTTCCACTTTGTGAATATCTTGAAAAATTACCCATTTAATTCGGCATACAGTTTATTTTTTCCCTTCAGCCTGCAGAATGTTTGTATTTTTAGCAGCACGTGAAGGACCTCATTTGAATTCTTTGGCCATCTAACAACCAAAAAACAGTGTCAGAAGTGGGGGAGTGAATTTGCCTTTGAGTTAAACTTTGCAGAAGATGTAAGAAGGAGAAGACACAGGTGTATTAGATGACACCGTGAAAGAGTTACTCAGACCTTGCTACTTTGAAAAATGAAGCTGTGATTAACATGTATTGAGCAAAATTTATGGGAACATTTGAAGTAAGAGCTGCAGCTTGGAAAAACAAGGGAACAAAATTCACTTTTATATTTCTATCCTTGCTCTGTTTTGATTATGGAGTCAGTAACAGGGAAAGGTACACCCATTCCTGCCGTGAATTTGAAGAGTTTGCTTTTTTCCGCTGTCCGTATAGATGAGTGTAAAGCAGTGAAACGCCTGTGCTGTTGGCTGATAACGTGCCATGGAAGAAGTGCCCTGGTAGCCCTGATTGTTGCATGTGGTTTAGTATTTCTATCACACTGCTGGCAACCAGGAGCAATGGCTGGTTTTGAAATGAAGAGTTAGGGACAGGTGGATCTGCTGGCCATCTTCATCCGCACTGGAAAGACACGGTGGCAGTGAGCAGGTTGCATTAACGAGTTGGTAAGATGAGATAAATCAATGCTTATGGACATCTAAAGGTGCAGAGAAGTGGGCTGAGCCTTGGAGAGCGCTGATGCTTTTGCTCATCATATCTCCCCCAGGTTGGTTTTTTTATTGCTATTGCCCGCCCCAAGGAAAAAACATGTTCTTCAGATCATCCCAAGTGCAACGCTGCTCTGGCTCATCTGGTGCCAAGTGCTGCTGCCAAGGTGCAGCTTCAGCCAGAGGCAGGGGTAGCATGTCACAGAATGGTTTGGGTTGGAAGGGACCCGTAGAGCTCACCTAGCCCAACCCCCCTGCGGTGAGCAGGGACATTTTTAGCTAGATCAGGTTGCTCAGAGCCTCATCCGGCCTGACCTTGATGTCCTATGACAAGAATCCTTCAAGTTACTCCTCCCTGAAGGGAGGTCAGGATGGCTCCTGGTGTCCATTAGAGAGGTGCAATGGCAGTTTGGAGCAAACTTATTCTCCAGCAGCTAGTGCACAGCGTTTGACCTGTGTGTAGCAGTGTTCCTCTGCTCTGCAAGGAGGTGGTCACCAGCGCTTTGGGAAAGGACCGGAGCACAGCAACACAGGATTTACTTGCCAGCTTTAGATGCAACACAGGCGTCAACCTGCTCTTTTTTTATTTTCAAAAGGCTTTTCAAAATGTTGTAATTTCTTGTGGGAGGCTTTCAAGTCTGTTCTGCCAGGGGTTCCCAGATGCACCAGGGAGCTCCTTTCAAGCCCTACAAGAAACCTCTGGACTGTATTGTTGAAGTTGTTTAGCTTTCAGATGTTCCGAGTAAATCACTGGGCCATTCATAATGTAACAGTGGGGAAAATATTTTAAGGCTGTGGTGGCTCATAACAGTTTTTTTTTTCCAACCCTGATGAATCTTTTTAGAGCAGGCAAAATAGGCAAAACCTCCTTGCAGTCTACCTCTGTAACGAGTTCTTCTAAGAGGCTTTATACACTTAAGTGTTCAAGAACTTTTCCAAAGCGCTAAGCTTCTTAAATTAATAAAAAATTATTTTACCTTGCTGTTCTTGAAATGTGTGGTATCTATCTGGGAGCTGTGGTTTTTTAGCAGGACTCTGAAGGATGCAGCCATGTAGGTGGTAACACAGCATGACTTCCCAGTGCTTATCCTGTCTGCACTAAGTGGGGTTTATAATTCATAGAAGTATGGGAAAAACTTTATTTAAAAAAGCTTTAAAAAGAAAAAAAAAGCATAAAAAACCAGTGCGGCACTGGGGAAGGGGAGCAAGGGGAAGATACCAGGAAGATGTATAGCTCTGGGGCTGGCTGGGGTCTGTCTCACGCTTGGGAGTGTGGTCATTAGGCTGGAGATGAGACCACCCCCTGGGCTGCCTGTCCCTACTGCCGTCCTCTGTGCCCAGGGACTGTCGCAGCTGGTGCCGCCCTGCGGCAGCACCGCTCCCGCAGCCCGAAGGGTTGGGTGATGTGGCTTGCGGCAGCCTGGCTTCAGGACAGTCGCGGCTCCACAGAGTTTCAGAGGAGGAGGACTTGGTCGACCTTCCCTCTGCCCTCTTTCTCACCGCCGCCCCTGGGGACTGTGGTTCCCTGGGGATTTTGTCTGCCCCTGTTTTCTCCTCGGTGTGTTAGACCAACCTTCTCCTTTGGTGGACAGCGAGGAACTAGTTGTGACTTGACAGGGTGGATGCTCCTTTGGGCTTGTACAAGACAACCCTCAAGTTGTGTTTGATGTGGGAAGTTATCATATGTGTGTGTATGGGATGAAGCAGAGCAGTGGGCACAGACCTCAGGGAGCTAGATCGGGTCTTGTTTAGACCAAGACTGGTCCATCTTGGAGTAGATGGGGACTCTGCAGTCATCTTGCTGCTGTGTTGTTTTTCATTTGGGGGTGTGTATGAAGGTAATCATCTAGAGGCAAATTTACTTGTTGCATGCACACTTCAGTAGGCAAAAACTTCTCCTTTTAGTTTCATCTGCCTTCAGATGCCCCGACAGAGCATCTCATGGCTTTGCACCCCTAGCTGAAGGCAAGAGCGTGGTGGCTTGCTGTCATCCACACCAACAGTATGCTGTGCAGCGCCCAGCTGCACGTGCCTGTGCAACGCAACGGTTCTGTGGCTGCTCCGTGTGTCTCGGTTAAAAGCACAATGTCTTTCGTATGGGCACATGCGTGCCTAAGAACAAAGGCACAACGTCTCGTCTTCCAGCAGACAAGACCCCGCCTTGCTCAAATTCAGTTGTGTCCGTGTGCAGAGAGCGGGGTGCTGGTAGTCCTGCTGCGTGCAGGCAAGCTCCATGCACGCCTTGTACAGGGGCTTTTCAACCTCAGCCTAATTTAAGCTATGGGATGTGGCTGGAAGCTAAAGTTGTCAGCAGAGGCTTTTTTCTGTTAGCACTAAAGTATTTCCCATTCTCTGTACGCATTTACTTATCTCCTTTTACCCCTTGTATTTTTCTTTTTTTGCCTTACAGCTTCTGACATGAAGAAAGATATAGAGTGTTTAATAGCCCAGGAAAAAGCAGAGATCGTTGCCAAGTATGAGAAGGTACCAACTTTGAGTTTCTCCCCAACGTGCTGGCTAAGGCTGAAGCTCAGTAATCAATCAGGCATGCTTCAAATAAGAACTTTTGCCCCCCTGCAGGCATCACCCCAGTAACCCTCACGCCATCAGGCTTCCTTGCCTGCTCTCCCTAACTGCTTCTACCTGCACATCCCCAAAGTTTCTCATGGATCCCGTGTGTGCTCGGCACGGATACTGAAACGGCCTGGTCTTCTAGTGCTTCGGTGCTCCCTTGCCACCAGGATGGCTCATGCCTGACAGCGCTGGTTTCTCTGATGTACAGCCCTTCCCAGCCTGTAGCAGAGACACACCAGGGACACCAGATAGGCCGAACTTGTGCGTTTTCCTCTTGCCTGCATTGTATTTGTCTCTTTAGAGCAAGTTTTAGTCTCCTGGCTCTATGCCTTCTAGCGTGCGGGGGGGGAGGGATGTGGGCAATGGGGGGGATATTTTTTTTCATTCCTGGTGCTGGGGCCGACTCACGGGTGTCCTTTCTGCTTTCAGGGCAGGCAGGAGGGAGCTCAGATTGACCTGTGGGAAGATGCCGATTTTACACTGTATAAAGTTACAGACCGGTTTGGATTCCTGCAGTAAGTCCTCCTGCCCTCTCCTGTCCCCCTTGGGCTGCGCGGGCCACCCATCGCACCAAGCGTGGCAGACCCAGCAGCTTTCCTATAAGTTCCTCTGTGGCTTGGCTTGATCAATCCTCGATGCAGAAGGAAAGACTAGATGTGCCTCCTCCCTCAACCACACATGTTCAAACACTCTGATGCTCTGAATTTGCTGCAAGGCAAGGCTTAGAAATGGTTTCCCACCACAAGCCTGTGTCACAGAGGGAGAGGCTCTTGCCTTTGCACATGATGATTCAGGGAGGTACTGTAGGAAGAGATGAGACAAGGTACCTGGTGGTTCTCGGTTCCCTTAGGAAATCCCCGTCCTAAGCGAGGCACAGATGAATTAGATGCACATCCTATGCCTGGGGACAATTCTTAAAAGGACTTTTTTTATTCCAAATCCGAACACAAAGTTAAAATAGTAGGTGTTTTGTGTGCAGGAGGGGGCACACAAATGCAATTGCTGTCCAGAAATCCACCCCCCTGCCTTTTAATTACTGATCATGTGTGTATTGAAGAGGAGCTTTGTGCCCAGGATTTCCAGCGATGTCCAGTGCTTGGTTACCCCCCAGCAGCTCCTGTAGGGTGGTGGGGTTTTGGCTGGTGCTTCCTCTGCCTCTTCCTCATCAGGGACAGCTGTAGGAAAGGCACAAAGCCCCCTAGCCGTATCTCCTCAGGTACCCGAGGTGGTCCCCAAGATGCAGCACCCCGCGCTTCTCCACACCCTTTCTTGCCTGTAGAGTAACCGGTGACCCCTTGCTTTTCCAGCGAGCAGGAGCTGCCAACCCGCACTGCCTTGGAGGAGAAGGTGAGAGCTGCCAGCTCTGTCGTCATGGGTATCGGATCCTTATCACACCAGCTGGGGAGGGGACGGTTTTTGAGGAGGCGAATGTGCAAGTGAGAGCGAAGCAGGCAGCCCATGCCCGCTGGTCACTGCTCCTCGTGCAGAGGTGGGAACTCTGCACGACACCTGGCTGTTGGAGCTTTTTATTTTGCTGGGTCAGGCATCTCCCTTCCTCCACGCTACACTGAAACTGCACCTTTTAAAGCAATTTTGGGCTTTCCCCTCTGCTTTGACACAGTGCTCAGCAACTGCACCTTGAAAAGGGGATTGCATGTGCAGGGGAAAGCAGTGGAGGTCATAGGTGACTGTCATCTCCATCCTCATCTCCCCTGAGCTGGGAGCGTGTCCTCTGTTAGCATCCCACTAACTGGGACTAAACAGCATCTTGTTTCTGCCAATCTGATATGATGATAACGATTTGAGGGTAGCTGAACCTGCAAAGATTTTTGTTGTCAAGGAATACTCCTCTTGGAAATGCTTTCTCTGTGTTAAACCTGCGTGTCTCATTGTTTTTACCAATGCTGCTTTAATTAAACCACAGGTTGAAATTACCAGTTCCTGCAAGCAGCTGTGGATTATTCTCATCCCCACTGCAAGGTCTTTGCGTAGAAGTTAAAATCTAAAGAGAATGAAGTTTTGTGTTTTCCGGAGGTATCTTCTGGCGCTTTTTTTTCCTAAATTTGTCTTGTCTTCTTCCCCCTTGCACCAGCAAAACCAGCAGGAAATCGAACGCGTGGACAAGTGGCTAAAGATGCTGAAGAAATGGGGCAAATACAGAAACAGTGACAAGGTAAGAAGGAAAAGAAAGAGCACTTGTCTGGAGGGATGGGAGTGGTGCATCCTTCCAGTGAGTCAGGCTTTCAAAAAGCTGATAGAGAAACCAGAGATCGCTGGAAAATATTGCCTAATTCTACCCGTTAGTCTTTAATATTTTAAATCTTTCCTTGAAATTGCTGGGTTATCCGTCAAGGGAGAAGTCCTGTTCTGACTGGCATAGTTTTACAAATGGTTTCCTAAATGCTGCTGGCGTGTTTGCACTTCTGCTTCCCTGCGCAAGCAGGAGCACAGCAGAGATGTTCGTGTCCCTGGGTCCCCTGAGAGCAGGGGGCATTGCACGCTGCAGGTCGCTTCTGTGTCTCCACCACCTGGGAATGGTGTGGGAGATGCAACTGATATGGTCCAGCTGGTGTTCCTTGTAATTCTCCCTGGAGGGAGAATTATTTGTCTAGGATATCACCTAGATTTTGTATTTTGCTGCTTCTAGCTGTGCCTGTGAGAAGCCCCTTAGGTCCTTAGGTGTGAGATTGTGTGCACCTCTCTGTAGAAATCGAGGATGGAGACACCAACCTTGTGTCTTGGCTTTGGTGTTCAAAATAAACTCCACGCCAAACACCACTGCAAAACTGAGTTGGTTTTAATAAATAATATTTATCATATGTTTGTGTTACAAACCTCTTGAAACAAAAACCCCTCAAACCTAATGACAGGACCCTTGCTGGGTAAGGAGAGGAGCATTACACCTGACCTGCTCTGCTTATGGCACTCTGCGCAGGAGAAGGCTGAAGCCCAGCGTCACCTTGTCGCCGTGGCCTCTGCAGCCTTCTTTCTGGGCAGGAGGAGCAGGGTGTTTGGATGTATTGCTTCTAGCTCCTGCTGAGAGCCCTTGGGAGAAACGAGCTTGGTTAAAAGGTTGTACAGAGTATATCTGCGTAGCTGTAGGGAGGCGTTGAGCAGAGCATCCCTCTCACCCGGCCCTCCAGAGTGACGTCGGGTTCACCCAGCCAAAGACTGGCTGTAGTCTCATCCTTTTTTAGAAAAAACAAACCAAAATCTTATCTTTGTTACAGCAGGGGTGGGATGGAGATGGGCTTGGGGTTCTGTTCACTTCAGGGTGGTTCTAGTTATTTTGTTCATCGGTGCTGCTCCCCAGGTGAAAATGGAGGCTCTCCCGTGGCTTTGATTTTTCTGATTAGAAGTTAGCACTAATTGGCCGTGTGGGTAAAACAGCAAATTCCAGCAGAGTGCAGGGAATTCCTTCAGGTCCTGGAGGACGTTTGGGATGGGTAATGATGAACGGTTTTAGCATGCTGTGGCTTCCCTGGGTCAGCTCGTGGGGACAGACAGGATCTGGGGTGAGGGGTGTGTGGAACAGTAGCGATCCCCATCTGTGTTGTGGATACCCTGGATATTTGGATATTTGTTTTACCCTGATAATTAGCGTGTGTGTTAAGCACGCTGCAGCCGACGTTGCTCAGTTCTGCTGGATGGCAAGGTCTAGACCAGCAAGCGGGTTTTGAGGGTCTTTGGGTCAGAAAATCACAGAGCTCTTGTAATGGAATAAATGATGTTATTTATAGCAGCCCATAAATGGTCCTTGGGCACAGATGTAGCATTGTCCCCGTGCTGGGGGACTGGAAATGGCTGTTCCCCCTCCCAGCAAATGGCAAAGCAGTGCTTGGCCCCAAGCAGGGAAGGAGCAGGCTGGTGACCTCTGGGAGTAGAAAGGAGCTTTGGTTTCGGTCCCATCCAGCCTAACACCCTGCCTGGCGCCAGTGGAAAGGCAGGCAGGAAGGTCTGTGTCAGAGCAGCTGTGCAGCATTAAGTGCAAAGACCCCGAGAGGCACAAAAAAAATAATAAAATTAGGTTGTGTCCTTCACCTGGATGTGCAACCCCATGCTCTTGTCAGGAGCATGGAAGTTGCTTGGAGGTTCCCGCTGCCACAGCTGGATGCAGCTCAGATGTGGCATTTCAAGGACCTTATGCTGGGATCATGGCCCTTCAGACGGTTATGCTTTTTCTCTAGCTAAAGTAGATGTGACAAGCCCTTGATAGGATTTTTCTAAAGCAGAGTGGGTTGGGTTTGTTCCCTCTCAGCACTCAGGCTGTCACATCTGCATTGCACGTTTCCTTCACGTTTGTTTTCGCCACTTCACTGGTGTGATGGAAGCCTGAGTGTCACAAGACAGCAGCTCTGTGTTATTTTTATAAAAATGAGGATGTCATCTTCAAAAAAAACCTCTTACTGAAGACGGGAGCCTTCCCTTTGATGTTCATTGTGGTAGACTGTGCTTTATTAGAGGGAAAAAAAAACTTGTTGCAAGAACCCCAGGCAGTTTCACAGGGAAGCTGCCCTGACTTTGGCTCTGCTTGAGTGATGTAGAAACCCATCTTATTTTCCAGGCTGGGACTTTCTGGACTTCAGGGCCAACTTTTCGAGTCCCCGTTCATGTGCTGGAGCTGGCAGACAGCTGACCATAGCGAGTGTTTGAAGAGGGATTCTTGGCTTATCAATCAGGCTGTCATGTTTTGCAGCATCTTAGTACCTGATTGGGCCTTAGGTTGTGGTCTCAGCTTCTGTGTTGTGAAATGTCAGCAGGAGGAGGGAGGTTGTGTACCCGTCCAGGGCATTGGCAACCACCTGTCAGCAGGCGAGAAAGCAGCTTTTTCAGGCCTGAACGTTGTTCCTGGCATAACCTGTTTCAGGATGAGCAACAAATAGAATTATCTTAATTAAAGCAGTGCCCAGGAATTCGTTGTGCTCACTACCACATCAAATCTGTCTTCATCTTTGTTCTAGACGCATTTCGTAGTAGTCTGATTTAATTTCAGTAGCAACATCAACAAAAAGTGACACCGGCCACAATTCCTCACATGGATGGCATTAGACTGTTGAAATGGTGTCTTTTCCTGGCTGTGCTTCCACAGGGGTAGAGAAATAAAGGAGTCCGTGCAAGGACCACACTATTTTGCAGAGTTAAGGTACGTCAAACCTGCAAAGAAGTGCTAGATTGTGTAATTCAGGGTTTAGCACAGGGAGGCTCAGGTGGTCTGTGTCCTCTTCACTGCTGTTTTAAACCTGAGTTTAAATCCCAACCTGACTCTGCTTGGGAGGGTTAGGAAATGGTTGGTGCTGTGTAAGAATCTGCATGGTCAAGGCAGCACAGTTTTGCAGAGAAACAAGAGGCTGTGCTGTGTGCACTCCAATAACGGGATCATTTATTCATCGTAGCCCTGAAATAAGTGGATTTCAGCCAGAAGTATCAGTCCTAGGAAGAGGATGTGACCTCTGCGTCATTTGCAAGCTGCTGCTTGCTGCTGGCCGTGTGGGATGAGACCTTTAGAGAGCGATGGCTTTGGCCAGAGATGTCTGGGGTTTAGGCAAAGCCTGTCTTTGTGCCTGGGGGTAGCCTTGTCTCTGCTAAGGTCACGGGAGTGCAGGGCGCTTAATCCAGTGCATGCCAGCAAAGTGGTTTAGGATGAATTGAGGATCTGTATGGACTGACACGAACCCCCAAGAGGGAATGATCTGCTAATGCTGGGGAGAGCCAGCAGACATTCGTCATGGCAGGGTTGGCTGAAGTCGGGTCTCCTGCCCGCAAGTGCCATGGGAAAGGAAGGAGGTTGTGCCTGGGAGCTGCAGGGTGACTTCTGCTGCTGGTTTTTGACAGTTTGGAAAGGTAGGTGGCATTTTCCTCTCCCTCAAAGGTAGTCCTGGTAATAAATGTGACTGCCCACCCATGGCACACCAGCTTTAGGATTTAAATTTGTCCCTGCTTTGCTGCCAAAGCCTCCACAGACCTGCTGGTACCAGTTCCGGCATAGCCAAGGCTCCAGCTGCAGGGACAACAGCTGAGTTGGGAGCAACCATGGAAAGAAAACCATGTGCAGCAAAGTCCAGGCTGCCAAGTGTCTCGCACGGCCACATCATCAATCAACTGGCTTCATGGTACAAGAAAGAAGTCCTCTTCTCCAGGATATTGGTGGTCATGGTGGTGGAAGCTTCACCACCACCTTCAGATGAAGATTTTCACAGCTTGGCTTCCCTGGCTCATCACTGGTGGAGGAAGTGAGGGAGTCCTTCCTCTCCAGAAGGATCACTCTTTCAGCCCTAAAGGATCTGAGGAAGGGGGGCTGCCCCCCACTTGAGTGTGTTGGAAACGTGTTGTGGGTATATGGAGAGGTCTGAAAGTGAAATTGCCATGCATACCCAAAATTTGGGCATTATTCCTGCAGTGTCTTTCTGCTGGACCATGCACATGGCTGAGGAGCTAACAGTGACAGGCTCCAAAATGTGAAAGTGAGCTGAAATATGTATATTCTGCTTTAAGAAACCAACCCATCCCTCCCAAACCCTTTTTAACTTCAGTGTCTTAACCACTGGAAAACGATGGCATGTCTTTAAAGGCAGTGACTCCTCCCCTCTAATTAAAGACCTGGAGCACTTTGTTGGGTACTTCTCAGAGGACATCTCTGATGCAGGAAGATGGAGCTCAGGTCTGTACTTCTGTAGTCTTCCTCATCCCATTGACTGGAAAGAAAGTACAGGGGGAGGGGAGAGATGGGGATGGGGTGACGATGGCCTCTGTGCCGCGAGCTTTGTATGTTAAAGCCTTGAGAGGGAAGATGATCTTATGGCAAAATCTGGAGCAAGTTTTAAACGCTGTGGGCTCAGTCCTTGACACTGACATGGCCTTTCTGCACAGCACCGTAGTCATTGCTTTGACTACCAGCATCTCCATTTGTGAAGCAGATGATGGCTGTTCTTCCTGTCGTGTGTTGTTCTGTCTGTCAGTCCTCCTGGGGCGTGGTCTAGGTGCTCTCTTTCCATCTGTAAGGGCTGACTGGTTTCTAAGAGAAGATGGTGGCCTTGAGGATTGATTTTCTTCCCACATGGAGCAGGAGTTGCTATCACATGCTGCCTTCCCTCCATCAGTTCATCCTAGTGTAAATGCTGCTTTTAATGATAACTTCCCTGTTTTCCTTCAAGTTTCAAGAGGAAGGATAATTGCTCATTTTTCCTCCGAGTGACTCACAGCTCTGAGGTTTTATCACTTTCACGTCTGGAGGCGGTGGGAGGAGGAAAGCACTGGGATAAATAACAGGAAGGCATTTCAGTTCAGTTCCATCTCAGCATGTTTTCTAACTTCCCTGTTCCTGCCACACTCTCATGCAGAGAAAATCATCGGAGACCTCTACCGTATGCCAGTGAGGGTTGCACTCATTAAAGTACAACAATACCAGATCTGGGAATTCAAAACAAAATCATTTTCTTCCTACAGAGCTCAGCATCATCTTCTACCTCGGCAGCTGTCAGTTGATCTCTCCTAATCCGCTGGAAATAAATAGATTTTTCTGAATTGGTAATTTTACCTCAACTGGTACATACTCCAGTTTCTTGATCCCATCTCAGATCTTGCTTCATGAGTACTTTCAGGAGCCAGGCTTCCGTGGGCACCTTACCAGTACCACTTTGGGGACGTGGTTCATCTAACCCCATCGCTTTGTGTCTCCTGATGCATTGCACTTCTTTCATCCTGATTTAATGACTCTTGGGGAGTGGGCATCTCTTGTTTGTCTCCTCGGTCTTTCAGCCATGGGGATGAAGTTACCTGGCATGGTGAGAAGGTTTGCCATCCTCCAGAAACACCTCCTCGTGTGAGCTGGGACGAGCAGGAGTGGCTCCCCTGGGTATGCAGATGGTGAATTAGTGATGTCCCACTTAAAATGCTGGATGGTGTTGAGCAGGATGGTGGCCTTCTGTGTGCACATCTGGATAGTGAGATGCTTTTTAAAGGGCAGCTCTTATTTGGTGCATACAGAGGGGAGGGCATGATCTTGCAAAGCATTTCTGTAGGGTATGGTCCTGGCTATGTGTTTGACCTTCAGAGCTGGTGCTAAGCAGCACATGGAGCAGAGCAAGTGCTGAGAATGGGGTTTTAAATGTTGAATGTCCGTTACACTTACAGGATCAGGATACATTACACTGTCACTTTCTGTCAGCAGAAATACTGAAATATTTACCGTAATCGGGTGGAAAAGCGTTCTAACACACAGCTAGCTCTCCTAGTACTATGTGGTGGTCTTGGCATTTCTCACATATCTATTTTATGTACTTATTTTGACTGGGAGAGTGGTGTTATTTCTTTGCTGTCCCCTAGCCTGTCTACTTGTGCCGGGGGGGGCTGACAGCACAGTGCCATGCTCACTGTCTTTGTGACCTTGTGCGCAGGCTGGCGTTAAAAAGTCAAGCTATAAGTGGAGAAGCTGGTGATGCAAGATAGGTCAGAAAGGAAAGGTAACAGGAGCAGATGTTCAGCTTGGTGTTAGAGATGTAAAGGCAAGGTGGCCGGACCACGGCCGGACCACGTCCAGAAAACCTTCTGCTGGGATCATGATGCTTCCCTGTGAATTGCAGCCCTCCTCTTGCACCAGCCTGAAACGCGTGAGACAGAACACCCTCTGGAAAAAGAAGAGGGATTTCGAAGGAGGTCACATGCATTTGTATCAGGCAATGCCAGTAGCACCAGTTCATTGCCTGCTTGGGCACTGCCCTGCTCAGCCCCGAGGTCATTCCCATGACCGGGAATCTGGCACCTCTGTCCCCTCCCAGGGAATTTCCCTGTCCCGAGGGATTGCCATGTCGCAACATAAATCCCCTCCACGGCTGGGACTTGGACACATGCAGCAGGTCTTTCAGCATCCCCAGGGTCCTCAGGCACCTGGAGGAGTGCTGTGGTTGGCTTTGTAGTGCAGCTGCGAGGCGTTTCATGGGTGAGATGGATGAAAGGGTGGAAAATACTCAGAAGTCTGGCTTTTTTTTTTTTTTTTTCTTTTAATAGGAGAAGTCAGGGGTGGAACAAAAGCCCTTTTTTCTGTTTTCCTTCTCTCTTTGGAGAGGGAGGGCTTTATGACAAGGAAAAAGGGAAGCGACGTCTGTGAGATGAAGTGAACACGAGGAGGCAGGAGGAGGGACACATGCACGTTTGTCCCCAATCCCCCTCCTTGCCTGGGGAGTACCCTACACTTTCAGAGGAGAGCCCTTGGTGTAGCCCACAGTCTTTTTTGGCACTTGTCAAGCTGCAAGAGTTGCTGTGGACACGTCCCTGTGGCTCTCGTGGTAAGGGTTCTCCTCTCTAAGGGGAAAGTATTTTTCTCCCAGTCCCTGAGGATCCAGGTGAGAACAGCCATGCCAGGTCAGATCAAAGGCTTCAAAGCCAAGGGTACTGCATCTGGTCCTTGGAGAGGAGTCCAAGGGCAGGCTGGTGTGCATGAAATGTGACCACTGTGAAGCACCTGAGATATCCACTTGTATAAAGGGGATGGTCCATGTCCAGCTCTTCCAGGAAGCTTAAAAGCGTGAGATGTTGCCTGATTTTTCACGGACTAGATGTCTTTGATGGATGCAGGTATTCAGCTCATCCATCAAATTGGAGGTGCTCGCTCTGTGCCAGCGCAGGCAGAGGAAGTGATTGGTTGGGGTGTCCACTCGGATGGCTGGTGGTCCGCAGCAGCAAACCACGGAGCCACCAGCAGGACCAGCTAACCTTGCACGCGTTTTCCTCCCTGCAGATGTGCCGGCGAGTGTACAAAGGGATCCCACTTCAGGTGCGAGGCCAGGTCTGGTCGCTTCTGCTGGATGTTGAGAAGATGAAGAAGGAGAACGAAGGAAAATACGAGGTAGGGGCTCTTCCTGGCAAAGGCAATGGGAGCAACATGATGGGCAGGCTGGTTTGGTGGGGCTTCACCAGCTGGGGCAAGTTTGACCCGTGGTGGATGCAGGCATCTCCATCTCCACCTGCATGGGCAGGAGGGAAACAGGGGTTCCTACAGAGATGCTTTAAGGGGTAGAGGGGGATGCTCAGCCCGTCCTGGCCCTTTAGCACGTTAGCCAGCTGCTTTCCCTCATGTGCTGCTTCCATTTATTCTGCTGGAAGCCACAAGCAAAGATGCTGTTGGTGTTGCTGCATCCTTTTAAAGATGCAGTGAAGAGGGAGGGGAAGCTTAGCAAAGGTACCGGTCGCAGTTCCCCGAGCTCCCTGGAGCGATACGGGGTAGCCATGAGTACCCTGAAGCAGGGAGGTGCTGGATGGGGGTGCCCCAAACCTCTCTGTGTGTTTGAAAATTGCACTTGGGGCGTTCTGAAATATGCAGCGAAGTCAGAAGCCTTAAACCAGCCGACAACGGGTCGTTAGTAGAGAAACCCAATTAAGGGTGGGGTGAGGGCAGGTCTTGCAAGCTTCACAGTGATTTCAGAGCACGGGGTCCTGGCTTGCAGCTTAGATGTGCAGCTGGAAGTTAACCGGCAGCGTTGGAAGATCTTGGATTGAAGTCGCTTCTTTTATCTTTCGTCTTCAATCTTTTTCTTAAGTGTCTTGAAAGTTTCTATTAAAAATCAAATAAAAATCATTTTTCTATTAAAAATCACTGCAGATAGGAGAAAAGCCTGCCTTGCATTGCTTCCTACCAGAGCGCTGCATGCTGCAGGCTTGGATTCCTTGGTATAAAATAAGCAATTCCTGTAGCGTGCATTGAACAAGAACCTGAGTGACAGGGCTTGCTGTCACTGCATATTTCCACAGACAGCGTGTGGAAGCCCTTTGTTGATAATTAACTTACTTTCCAAACTTACATTACCCTTTGGCTTGCATCGCTTACCTGGGCAAGGATCAGGACATTTTGGAGGCAGGAGGTGGAGTGGTGCTTCCAGCTGGTGTTTCCCTAATCTCTGCCTATTAAGCAGGATGATGCTAACGCTCGTTAGTTAGTCAAGCGGAGCTGTAATTGTGAGATGCCGCTGGGATGGAGCCACGTGAGGGGCTTGGGGAAGGCAGCCTGGGCTGACGGCGGCGAGCAGAGATAAGCAGCTCTCCCAGCACGCAGATCCGTGTCGCCCTCGCTCCCTCGAAGCTGCGCTGCGCAGGCAGGGACGCGATCCAAAGAAATGAAAGTCTCAAGGAGTTTATCTGTGCTCCGGAGGGGTCTGCAATAAACGGGAGCTTCAGGGCTGATAGGCTTTGCTGGATGCAATCCCCCTACGAGCTCGTCATAATCTGCCTCTTCTCTGGTGCCACCTGCTGCCAGTCATTAGCTCTCCCCTAATTTCCTCCAGAAGAGGCTCAGTGCAGGTCCTGGATGAGGGATTTTGCTTTCAAGAAGGATCTAAGCCTCAGCCCCAGCCTTGTGTCCTGGAGACGGTGGTCCCAAGGCCACCCCATGTCTCCTTGCGGCGTGAACCATGGCACAAAAGCCTGGATTTTGCATGTGCCTTGAGTTGTGAGCGTGCCACCTGGCACATGCAGGTGATTTATCTTTTTTTAACCCACTGCTCCCTCTGTAGAGAAGTTGTCCCCTGCACTCAGGCTGGCAGAGGAGCCACTGTTCCAGCTACGCAGGATACCTTGCTCCCCATGTCCGTGTTGCCTCTGGAGCAATGCAGTTAAAAAGCCTGGTCCGGTTGCTTCCGTAGTGCTTTAGCTGATCCCAGCTGTCCTCCAAGTCCTCTTCATGCAAGTCTCTGACTCTTCCTCAAGGCCATAGCAGCTCAGTTGTCCCTGATTCTGCAGGAGCCTGGCAGCTACCATGGGATGTGCCACACTTGATTTCAACGTCGGTGTCGTGTTCCGCCTCCCTGGGGTTTTATAGCCACAACTGAGAGGACTTGAGGGGAGCTGAGAAGTTGGCAGGAGAAACATGCTGGCCATGGGGCAGAGCAGAGGCATCCTGACTTTGACCCATTGCTTTGTAAGAAGTCTCTGGGACGGGACCTCCAGCTTCCCAGCCTCTGCTCTGCCACCGGCTTGCAGGGCTCACCGCGCTAATGAGCTCGGCAGGGCGTCTGTGGAGCCCCCAGGTTACTGAAACAAGGGAAGAAAGGAGAACAACCCATCCTGGGCTTCTTGTTTGCTGCCTGCAGAATGAATAACATCTCCTGGCTTCGTGGCACTGACAAAGAGCTGTGCAACCTACCTGCTGGCCAGGTGCAGTGATTTAAAAAAACCCTAGATTAGGGTTTTTTACAGTCTTTGGGAGATTTCTATGGTGTTCTGGCAGGGAAAACAAGAGGGCCTTTAGCAGGGAAATTTGAACTGGAGTGACCCAGTGCATACGAATAGTCATCTTGTCTCAGGTAGTCTGCCTGCTTTATAGAGGGCAAGGAGCTGCAGGATGCAGGGAGCACAGGATTTTTACAGCAGGGAAATCATGTTGTTCATCAGATCTTCGTTCCATCGTCACTTTTTAATCCTCCCTTGTGCAAGCAGTAATTCAAAGTAGCCCCTGCACTGTTGCTCCTCCATCCAGCTGCTTTCAAGGTTGGAGTTAATATTCCCAAGATGCTGTGCCTGCCCTGAGCGTTGGCTGGGCTGGACGCATCTGGGTGCTAATGACCTTTTGATGTTCCCCAGAGCTGATGTGGCCACCTCTGGAGGTCAACAGTAGCCTGGAGGAGCCTTGTATCAGGCTGACAAGCATTCGTAGGATGGCAGCTGCTGGAGCAGATGATTAAGTATCTGTGCAAATATGCTATTTTCTGTCTTCTGTGTGAGCAAGGAGGGGTCTGACCCTGGGCTTCAGGCAAGCTGGGCTTGCTGCTCATCGTCGCTGCCCCTAACCTGTCAGTGGATCTTCAGCTGCCTGAAGACAGTCACAAAATGTATTTTATTAATATGATTAACCCTGGAGATATTTAAGAAAGAGGGCATGATCACCAGTGGTGTCTAAAGGCTGTGAGATGAGATGCTTAGCTATAGCATAATGGTCCTTGCCTGCATGCCCAGGGCTGAACAGTGGGTTTTGAAGGGGACTGCAGTGGGATTTGCCCATGGGGCATCTTGAGCTTGGGGCTCTGAGGGCACACAGTTGGTCGAGGTGGACTTACCTTTGGTTTGAATTTCCTTTTTTTTGCATTGGACTTCAGTCATTTATCTGTGTGATGCTGCCTTAAATGGTTAGCCAGCGAGGGGGGAGTATGGGGATTCTTGGCTTTGAGTTTAGCTTCTCTTCTGGACTCTACCAGAGCCTTAAAATTTGCACCAGTCCAGGGGAGTACCCCAGAACTGCTTTTCTTGTGGAAATTCCCTAAACCTAAGATGATTCTTTTCTGCAGGGGAAGTAGTAGTTGGAGGTCACTTCATAGAATCTGGTGTAGCAGTCTGGACTTTATTACAGCTGAGCCTCTGAACAGCTCAGGGACTCAGCGCGTACGTCTGCGTGTTGGTTATAGAAGTGTTTCATTCCTCAAGCGCCAACAGAGGTCTTGGTGCTTTATGGCATCCAGACCAGGTACCGCAAAGAAATCAAATCAGAGTGGAATTTAGTTGTAATGGGTTTAGGTTCTGAAAACTCGGTATGTGCATTGGAAGATGGGCGAAGGCTGGGTTAGCTGTGGGTTAGCTCCCAAGCTGACACTCCCGCCGTAGGAAGCGTGCCTTCTCGCTGTGTGCAGGGAGGTGTGGGCTGAGATGAGGTCTGACTCCTTCCTCTTGTCTGCCCCTCTCCCTTCCAGCAAATGAAAGAACAAGCAAAGAGCTTTTCGTCAGAAATCAAGCAGATAGATTTGGACGTTAACCGCACCTTCCGGAACCACATCATGTTTCGGGATCGCTACGGAGTGAAGTGAGTACAGGAGTCTTAGTGTGGCTGTGCAGGCATCGGTGCCGGTAGGTGTGCGTGGGATGAGCTGGCTTGGGGTGGCCAGCAGCCCCGTGGCTTGGGGTGGCCAGCAGCCACCTAGCTCAGAGCTGCTCACAGCACAGCAAAGCCATCTCTGCCTGCTTCACAAACCCTCAGCACATGGTGCGACTCACAGATATTGGGCTGCTGATTGTGTCTTCAGACAGGTCCACACTGTTCAGCCCCAGTTCTTGAGGCGAGCATCAGCTTGTTGCGGTGCCTTGCCCCCCAGGGTGCTAGGTTGCAATTGCAGAGGGCTTGGTTTGGGATGGCTGGGATGGTGAGGTGGGACTGTCAGGAGCTGGATGGGATGGGGTGGATGTGGCCTCCACAACAGACGGGGTTGGAGAAGTTTGACAAAGTGGCTTTGTCACTTGGATCAGTCAAACCTGACTGCCCTACACAAACGTAGTCTGCGAGGAAGCCTGCACTGCATGTCTAGATGGTGATGACTCCTTTAGCAAGGAGGGAATAAAATGGTGGCAGTGCTTCCCCCCAGGATGTGTAACACTTGATGCCTGGGTGGTTGCAAGTCTATTAAAAACCCACCACCGCTCCAAACCCGAAGAGCAGGTGTGTTGAACACAGCACTTGGAGATTTGTGCTTGTCTCTCTGGGAGACCTGCTGATGGAGGAGGCTGGTTCAGCCCGGGGCTGCTGGTGACTTCCCCCTGAAGGAAAAGGTCCCATCCCATGTGCCCATCAAGGTGCTTTCTGGTTCTGTGAGCCTTCCTCCCTGCAAAAGGCATAAGTACCAGTTGGCTGAGTGTTTGCAGATCCTTTGCTCTCTGTGCGTGCGTGTTGGTGTGCACACAGAGCTGGAGACCTCATGATCAGGTGTTCTAATATCCTTCTTTCTCCCTAGGCAACAGGCACTCTTCCATGTCCTGTCAGCATACTCTGTTTATAACACCGTAAGTAGTAAGTTAGTCCAGTTAAAGTGAATAGTGTTGTGTTTTGTATATATATATATTTTACACACACATATATGTATTTTAAAAAGCTTTGTATATATTTATATACGTGTGTCCATGTATGTTTGTGTATATACCCCCACATTTAACCAGTGGTAATTCCAGTTTTAAGTCCTAATACGGGTTTGTACAGACAGCTGCAAGACTCTGCACAGTTGTCTCATTCCTTTGTTTGTTTTGTCACCTGGTAAATGACATCTGGCAGAAGCAGTTTGGGTGAGTATCAGCAAAGAACAAGGGATTGCCCTTTGGCTTTCCAGCCAGACTAGCCTCCTGGCTGAAGGTCCATCATGTTTCTGACTTCTTGTCATACACTGAATGGCATCCTTGTTGAAAACACTGATTTATTACAGCGAACCAGTTATTTTTAGTTGAAGGCCATGGGCGAATAAGCCTAAATCAGCAGCTGCACCTACTGCCTCCAGCTCCAGAAGGGGACAGTTACCCCAAAAGGCACAGAAGGTGCTCAGGGAGAGGTAGTCAAGGAAACAAAGACCCTGCCTTCCCTCATAGCAGATATTCTGTAATTACTTCAATGCTTACGTGGCTGAAGCTCCCGTGGCTGAAGGAATCCAAAACAGTTGGAGCCACATGCTGTTTGTCATCTCATCCGCGTTCCTTGAAGTAGCTGCAAGCATCTCTAATGCTGTGATTTCTGTCCCTTGTCCTCCAGACTTGAGCAGTGCTGATGGGGGGAACGGCGTGGGGCTTGTAGGGACAGGCTTGCAGGCCATGCCCCTCACCTCCCACTGCAGGACCTGCTCAAGCGGGTCCAGGGGAGGCCATGAAAATGGTCAGAGGTCTGGAACACCTCTGCCGTGAAGAAAAGCTGAGAGTTTGGGTTCAGCCCAGAGGAGAGGAGGCTCTGGGGAGACCTTATTGTGGCCTTTCGTCTTATAAGACAGACAGGAAGACTTTTTGCCAGGGCCTGCAGTGACGGGGCAAGGGTTTCAAACTGAAAGAGGGGAGATTTAGATTAGGTATTAGGAGTTCTTCCCTGTGTGGGTGGTGAGGCACTGGCAGAGGTTGCCCAGAGAAGCTGTGGCTGCCCCCTCCTGGCAGTGTTCAAGGCCAGGCTGGATGAGGCTTGGAGCAACCTGGTCTGGTGGGAGGTGTCCCTGCCCATGGCAGGGGGCTGGAACTAGGTGATCTTTAAGGTCCCTTCCAACTCAAACCAGTCTATGAATCAGTGACACAGTAGATGCTGTAGACATGTGGGAGTAGTGAATTTGGACATAAACGATAAAGACCTTGAAACAGGACAGACATTGAAAGGGCAGAAGGAACCACAGGCGGCCTGACCCGTTTCTGCAGCTTTAGCATTATGGTGGGGTCTGACGACATGACAGCATGAATCTGAGAAAACAACAACTCAGTGTTCTTCAGCAGGGATTCTTTATTGCGGCACCAGGCAGCACGGGGGATGGCTTCTTCCATACATGCGCACCCGGGTGTTAGTATTCTGGCCTTATATTTACAGCTTTCATGTT